CCTGCTTCTCCCTCTGCCTGTGTCTCTACCTCGCTCTCTCTCTGTCTCTCATGAATAAATAAATAAAACCTTTTTAAAAAATTGTTTACAAGTTTACTTTATAGCCCACCACCATATTTGGTCCAGTGTTTGAAAAACATTGCAGCAAATTGGCACTGCATTAGAATAGAAACCATGTCTGGTTTTACTCCACTCTGTCCCAGCACCTAATATGACACTTAGGACATAGACTGGATAGAAATTTAGTGAGTGAATGAAAGGAACAAAAAGCTTTAAAAGATGCTAGTTTTAAAGAATTATTGTCCCAAATTTTACCAACAAGAAAACAGAAGTTCAGCGAAAGGTTTAATAATTTGCTGAGGCAAGAGAAACAAAAGGAAAAATGAACTATTGGGACTTCATCAGGGTAAAAAGCTTGCACAGCAGAGGAAACAAGGAAACTAAAAGGCAGCCTACAGAATGGGAGATATTTGCAAATACCTCATCAGATAAAGGGTTAGTATCCAAAGTCTATAAGGAACTCTTCAAACTCAACACCCAAAACCGAATAATCCAGTGAGGAAATGGGCAGAAGACATGAACAGACATTTCTCCAAAGAAGACACACAAATGGCCAATAAACACATGAAAAAATGCTCCAATATCACCTGGCATCAGAGAAATACAAGTTATAACCACAATGAGATACCTCCTCACACCAGTCAGAATGGCTAAAATTAACAAGTCAGGAAACAACAAATATTGGTGAGGATGGGGAGAAAAGGGAACCCTCTTACACTGTTAGTGGGAATGCAAATTGGTACAGCCCACTCTGGAAAACAGTATGGAGGTTCCTCAAAAAGTTATACACACACACACACTCAAATATTACTCAGCCATCAAGAAGAATGAAATCTTGTCATTTTCAACAACATGGGTGGAGCTAGAGAGTATAATGCTAAGTGAAATAAATCAATCAGAAAAAGACAAATACCATATGTTTTCATTCATGTGTGGAATTTAAGAAACAAAATAGATGAACGTAGGGGAAAGGAGGGAAAAATAAGATGAAAAGAGAGAGGGAGGCAAACCATAAGACTCTTAACTACAGGAAACAAACTGAGGGATGCTGGAAGGGAGGTAGGTAGGGGGATGGAGTAATTGGTGATGGGCATTAAGGAGAGCATGTGATGTGATGAGCACTGGGTGTTACATGCAATTGATGAATTACTGAACTCTATATCTTTTTTTTTTAATTTATTTATTTATGATAGTCACAGAGAGAGAGAGAAGGGCAGAGACACAGACAGAGGGAGAAGCAGGCTCCATGCACCGGGAGCCCGATGTGGGATTCGATCCCGGGTCCCCAGGATCGCGCCCTGGGCCAAAGGCAGGCGCCAAACCACTGCGCCACCCAGGGATCCCCTGAACTCTATATCTTAAACTAATGATGTATGACTAATTTAATTTTAAATTTTTAAAAAATGAAAAAAATGTTGCTGTAAGTCCTGAGGCTATTAATAGGTAGAACCAGGGTTCAGATTCAGCTTTGTTTTACTTTAAAATCCTGCTAATTTCCTCTTATGCAAGAGGTAAAAGAGAAATGTCTAGGTTGCTTATAAGAGATGGCAAGCTGGTAATGCCTCTAGTAGAAAAAATCATTTAACATAACTTTATTCATACTTAAGACATAGTGTGGAATTCTGAAAGATAATTGACTTTTTAACTTTATACAGTTAGAAAATCAAAATTCACTTTAAGATACTATAAAAATAAATGAGAGGATAGATGAAATAAGATTGGTAAAGTTGATAATTGTGGAAGCAATGATTCTATGTCTGTTTTATGTCTATTTTAAATTGTTCACTTTAAAAGAAAATTTTTTAAACACAAAATGGGGGGCACCTGGGTGGCTCAGTTCATTAAGTGTCTGCTTTCAGCTCAAGTCATGATCCTGGGGTCCTGGGATCAAGTTCTGCATTAGGCTCCCTGCTTGGCGAGGAGTCAGCTTCTCCCTCTGCCCTTCCCTCTACTCATGCTCTCTCTCTTTCTCACATTCTCTCTTTGTCAAATAAATAAAATCTTTAAACACACACACACACAAAAGCAGCTTAATAAGAATAGCATTACAGGAAAACTATTCTTGTTTTTCAAGTAAGCACTGCAAATATAGGATTTCAAAAAACACAAAAAAGCTTAAGAGTTTATTAACTAAAATAATGTCTCTAAAGCACAAGATACAACATCTAGTACATAGAAAAAACTTAATTTTTGTTCCTTTCTACATCAGGTTAACTAAAACCATCTATGAAAAAAAGGGACTCCTTATAAACAATATTATCTATAAGCCTTTAGAAAAACACCACTTTGTAGTCACATTTTTTTTTAAAATGAATTTTGGGAAGCCTGGGTGGCTCAGTCATTTGAGCATCCAACTCTGGATTTCGGCTCAAGTTATGATCTCAGGGTCCTGGGATTGAGCCCAGCATTGGGCTCTGTGCTCAGCGCAGTCAGCTAGTCCTGCTCCTTCTGCTCCTCCCTGCCACCTCCCACTCTGCTCATATGTACAAGCATGTATGCTCTCTTTCTCTCCCAAATAAAGAAAAATCTTTTTTGAAAAATTCATAAAAATTTGGGATCCCTGGGTGGCGCAGCGGTTTGGCGCCTGCCTTTGGCCCAGGGCGCGATCCTGGAGACCCGGGATCGAATCCCACGTCAGGCTCCCAGTGTATGGAGCCTGCTTCTCCCTCTGCCTGTGTCTCTGCCTCTCTCTCTCTCTCACTGTGTGCCTATCATAAATAAATAAAACAAAAAAAAAAGAAAAATTCGTAAAAATTAAAAGTGAATCTCATATGTCTTTTTTTAAAATATTTATTTATTCATGAGAGACACAAAGAGAGAATGGCAGAGACATAGGCAGAGGGAGAAGCGGGCTCCCCACAGGGAGCCCGACACGGGATTCTATCTTGGATCCCGGGTCACACCCTGAGCCGAAGGCAGGTGTCCAACCGCTGAGCCACCCAGGCGTCCCTCATATGTCTTTTTTAAAAGAGAGAAATAGGGATCCCTGGGTGGCGCAGCGGTTTAGCGCCTGCCTTTGGCCCAGGGCGCGATCCTGGAGACCCGGGATCGAATCCCACGTCGGGCTCCCGGTGCATGGAGCCTGCTTCTCCCTCTGCCTGTGTCTCTGCCTCTCTCTCTCAATGTGTGACTATCATAAATAAAATTAAAAAAAAATAAATAAAAGAGAGAAATACTTTTTTATTATTTATCAGCATGATTGCAAATATAATTTAAATATTCATATAGAAAATGTTAATTTTTCAGTGTATGAATCCACAAATCCTTGCTGTATGCAGATGACATGGAAGTAATGATCATGATCATAAAACACATTAGATAGGCACTGCCTTACCAGTAGCATAGATCTAAATCCACATCATAGTTGAAAAAAGCTTTTGAATACATTTCTCTCCAGGAATATTTTTTCATCCAATAATATAATTTTACTATACTATATATAGAAAAAAATGGATGTTTTTCCATCTCAATTCTGAAAGTGTTTCTTTTGATTTAAAAATAAATCGTGGGATCCCTGGGTGGCGCAGTGGTTTGGCGCCTGCCTTTGGCCCAGGGCGCGATCCTGGAGACCCGGGATCGAATCCCACGTCGGGCTCCCGGTGCATGGAGCCTGCTTCTCCCTCTGCCTATGTCTCTGCCTCTCTCTCTTTCTCTCTCTGTGACTATCATAAATAAATAAAAAAAAATAAAAATAAAAATAAAAATAAATAAATAATAAATAAATAAATAAATAAATAAATAAATCGTGGCGGGCAGCCCAGGTGGCTCAGCAGTATAGTGCCACCTTCAGCCCAGGGCCTGATCCTGGAGACCTGGGATCGAGTCCCACATCAAGCTCCCTACATGGAGCCTGCTTCTCCCTCTGCCTGTGTCTCTGCCTCTCTCTCTCTCTCTCTCTCTCTCTCTCTCTCTCTCCCTCCCCCTGTGTCTCTCATGAATAAATAAATAAAATATCTAAAAATAAAAATAAAAATAAATAGTGGAAATTGTAATGCAGAACTGTGTTATTATGATTTAGAAATAGCATTTTGACACCCCCCCTTTTTTTTAAATACTGTATTGGGAATTAAGGGACTGTATTTTAGTCCTAGCTCTGCCACTAACCAGAACTTGTCAACCTAAGTTCCTTCATTCTGTAACTCATTTTCTTCAAATGTGAAATGAAAAAAAGAAGATAAGTTTTTTTTTCTACTCAACTGGGTTATTCTGAAAATCAGACTGGGTGATAAATAAGAATAGTATGAATAGTTTGAAATTTATAGAAAAATGGAAAAATATGAATATCAACAGTACTTTATCTGTATAGATAAGATATATCCACAATAGTGTATACATGCATCACACATGCATGCCCATAGAAAAGGTGGTATATTTATTTAGGAGGAGGCTAGAAGAAATAATTTTATTTAAAAAGTACAAGTATATGTGGTTCCCAGGTGGATCAGTCAGTTGAGATTCCAACTCTTGGTTTCAGTTCACATTATGATCTTATGAGTTGTAATCTCATGGATTGTGGGATCAGCCCACATTGGCCTCCCTGCTCAGCAGCAAGTCTGCTTGAAAATTTTCTCCCTCTGCCTCTCCCCTGACTCACACATGCTTTCTCTCTTTCACTCTCTCTCTCTCTCTAAAATAAATAAATCTTTTAAAAAATTAAAATTACAAGTATGGAAATTATGGAGCAACAGGAAGACAATCTCCAGCGACACCAAGAAAGGGCACGATTAGGACCACTTTTACTGGTACATGTGAATGATGGGTACAAAGATCAAACTAGTAGTAACAATACCATTGTCTGGTCTAGAAGATTAGAAAAACATTGCACTTTCCTGAAGCCTTATCTGATGATTTGAGTCAAATTTTAGAATTCCAACACTAGATCCTTATTCCTTGCTATAGGTCCATTTTGATGTTTGTTCTTGATTCTGTTCACCTCACAGCTGCCGATGGCCCAGGAGATCGTTTCATCATTGGGGAATCCCAAGCTGGTGAACAGGTGAGATTCATAAGCCTGAAAGGCCCTGAAGATTTCAGCGTCATGGACTTCTAGCATCGAATTCTAAGCTTCTACCATCATTGCAATGAAAATCTTAGAGATGGATTAGACAGGTTATCAGAGATTAAAGGATGGTTCTTATGAGAAAGAACCAACAGAATTATTTTTTAACTGAAAGAAATCTGCGTCTATTAATATATAACATGGTATTTTTGGTATAGCTCACAGACATGCCCCACAAGAATTTTCCAGTCCTGTGATTAGATGATTCTTTCTTCCTATATAAACATTAGTATTCTCAGTAGAACTATAGTTTCTAGGTGATCTCAGACTTTTCTCCAACTTGTGTTACAAACAGGGAAAATTAGAAGAAGCAAATTTTTTAACCTCTCTAGCTAATCACTTAGATAAGGTTTTCTCACTGGGAAGCTAGCCAGTGAACAGGTGTACATATATTTCTATTAAGAAATGAAGCACTAATGGGCCATAATGGAAGTACAGTAGAAGTCCTCTTATTTAATGCTTTTGACACTAGTAATTGGCCATTTAATTGGAAACAAGTGGAAAATTATTATACAAGAGTCTAACAGCCTCAAACTTAAGCAGTGTTGAAGCATCATTATGTTTAAGAGGAAATATAAAACATCCATTAATCCAGTGAATTTTGAAGCTTGGTTAAAAGAGCGCCTACCTTATTAAATAGATCTAGAAGAAGACCAAGATACTTTTTTCTTTTGATACCACCAAGCATTCATAAGCATTATATAAAAATAAAGGAGGATATGAATGAATGAATGAATGAATGAATGAATGTGGAGGTTTGAGCAAAAGCTATGTCCCATGCCTTTTCTTCCTTGGCTTAGTATGTACTCCCATATGTACTGAAAATATGGAGAATTTGAGGAAGTATATAGAAGAATGGTGCTTGCGGTGGTGACTCCAGCTACCTCATCCCTACATCCAAGCATTGAAGAGAACTGTGTATAGATCTCTGAAGCCAAGCCTGGCACTATAGTAATTAGATGCTCTACACAGGCTGGTTTAGTCTCCATGACTGTTTTCCTGACAAAAAGAACCAGCCAGGCCATTTTTAAAATGACTTGTATTATGATCTCATAATTTATTTGACTTCTTGATATGTATTTCAGTCAGTGTTGGATGTCTGAAGCATCCATTTGTATAGCAAAGCCACAGAGTACCAATTATTCTAGGTCTCTGATCTTCAATTGAGTCTTATTATCAAACATACCTACTGTGTGTGCCAGGCACTATGTTGGGTTCTAGGGAAGATAAAACAGATTAAGATATGATTTCTACTCTTAAGGAGTTTACATCTAGTGGAGGAGACAATATAAACAACTAAATATAATAAGTGTTAAATTAATGCTATCAGTCATGTACTATGGAGCACAATAGGGAGGTTGAGCATTTCATCCTAGAAGGATTAAGAAAATAACATTGGAACTGGACCAGGAGAGGATTTTACAAAAACAGAAATGAGAAAAGGACATTTCAGGCCAAGAGAACAGTATAAATCAAGACACAGAGGTGTTTTTAAAAATTGCGTGGAATGTTTAGGAAACTGCAAATAGTTTGTGGTAGTCAAAGCCTAGTACAAATAGTAGATAGGTAACAGATTAATAAGTACCTTATGGTCTTAAACTTTACTTACTAGTTAAGACTTCCAACTGTACTAGAAAACTAGGAACACAAAAAATTCATGAACCATGAAAGTTGCTAACTTCTTGTAAGTTCAATGGGGAAAAAAGATGAAAACTATGTTTAAAAATGGGGTTTCTCTTTAAGTTATCTATGAATATCCTTTATGTATAACTAAGGTATTATACAGACTTTATAGCAATTTCAGAGACCTTACAAGAGCCAAAATGCTCACTTTTTGAAAGTACATACACTTGAGAATTAGGTGCCATTGCATTCACTGAGACTTTAAGTTTTTTACAAGTTGATTTCAAAATAATTTTTTGGTGTACCAAAAAACTTGACTTTAAATCACTTACTGATCCTATTGATTAGCACTGGACACTGTCAAAGAAAATAATTACATGATTATAAAGTGTTGTCATTGGGCAAATCTCAAAAAAACCCAACACAATTTCTATTAAGGAAAAAAAATCAATATTTTAACCATTTTTACTTTATATTAAAACATATAAGGTATGTCAATAAAAATAAAAAATAAGGAGTTACTCTTAAAGAGCTGTTACTCTTAACAATCTAAAGGAAATACTTCATGTATTCCTAGAGTTTTTCAACGATTCCATTCAATTGAGGTTTATGTGTTTACTCTAAGTGTATATATAAATATAAATCCAATGATATCTTTTACATTGGATCTCATGTAAGTGAGCTGGTAGGAAGTCTTCACCTGTCATACAGATTTACTAATCTTGGAGAGGAGTCAAATTTTATATTTAATAATCACACATAAACACTTCTCAAGAGTTGGTTTAAGCCAAGAAGTAGAGAAGATTACAGGTACAACCACGATAAAACTTAAAGTAAATTTACAGAGTATGGTACATTAAACCTCATTAAATTTAGGCAGGGCTCCAGGTTCACACACTTCAGCCTAAGAAGCAACTGCCCTGAAATTCACTTTAAGATTCACTTCCTGCCTGAGCCAAAAGGCACTTTCAACAAAAGAAGAACCTGTTTAGGCCTAAATTAAATATGTTTGTTCCATAGGCTCTGAAGATAGTTTTAGTGTTAGTACATCTGCTAAAAAATACATATATAAAAACTTTAATACTTTTCATCAAAAATCACTGCACTGAAAAAAAAAAAGAAAAAAAAAGGCGCCCTTCCGCCGCCCTCCCCCGCGCCCTCCACACCCCCTGCACCCCCTTCCCCCGCCCCTCCACGCCCTTCCGCATCCCCCCTCCCCCCGCGCCCTCCGCAACCCCCCCCCAAAAAAAAAAGAAAAAAAAATCACTGCACTGCAAAATGGTCATGTATGGTAAGATGTCCCAGACAATGAATAATACCTAGATTGAACTTTTTTTAAATTTTAATGCTTGGGCCCTAAACTTTTCATATGAAATCCTAGGCAGCATGGTGGTAGAAAATCACATAAAAATGTAACCATTCCAAAAAGCCTGGAATGTCTTTTATTCAAATAGCACAAGAAGGGACTATAAAATATATAGCTCAAGGCCAGAGCTAATCCCAAGAATCTCTGTGGGAGATTAGCTGTGGGATAAGAGCAGGGAGAACATTGGCGTTTCAAGCCAAGAAGTATGGAATGCTCCATGCATGTAGTTGTCAGCTACTGAGATCATTAATGTTCATTCATTCATTAATTCTAGAAATATTTACTCATCACCACCTTTGTGCTAGACACTTTCTAGGCTTTGGTATGATAGAGCAATGAATATTTCTGGTAAAGGGGTGATTAAACAGACTATATCCAAGAAATAGAGTTTTAAGGGAAACTAACAAAGGAATGTTAAGCACCCAGGTGCTAACAACAGTGACACTCCATTACCAACCACCTCTGGGTCTGACAGGGCAAAGAGAAAGAGTGGTACCTGGACCTGGGGAAGGTTCATAGCTATGGGATAGGACTACCCAATAGGAGCTGTGGCCCTCAATAGTAAAGATGATAGAGCCATCCCCAAACTGCAGCCCAGCAGTTTCCCTTCCTCCTATCCTGTAATCTCTTGACCACTTCCATTGGCTGAATCTAATCAGAAGCCAGAGTGATGGGAACCTGGTTGAAATAGTGTATAGAGGTCAGCCTTGTAGCCCACAGCACAGGATAGAAAATGAAGATGTGATCTTGAGGGGCAAACAAAAAATAAATACCTGTCTTTGTAAGGCTTATATTCTAGAATATAACTGCATTAAACACTGTACCTAGCATAAATTGAAGGATTTGATAATTTTAGCTATTGGTGGTGTTATTTGCAGCAATATTATTTTTTTAAGTTTTCTTTTTTTTAAAGATTTTATTTATTCATTCATGAGAGACAGAGAGAGAGGCAGAGATGCAGGCAGAGGGAGAAGCAGGCTCCATGCAGAGAGCCTGATATGGGACTCAATCCCAGGTCTCCAGGATCCAGGGCAAAGGCAGGGGCTCAACCACTGAGCCACCCAGGCGTCCAGCTGCAATATTATTGAAAGAAGATTTTTAAGGCTGTTAAGATAAATAAATTTCTTGTCTTACTTTGCACATCCAATATTTTTGGATTGGATTAAGGTATTTTTCCTTAATCATTCCCTAAATTTTTTTAATGTGGTAAAAATATATAACATAAAATGTACCATCATAACCATTTTTAAGCGTACATTTCAGTAATGTTAAGTCTATCTGCATTGTTGTGACTTAAGATTTTAAATACTTAAAAACATATATCTTTAGAAAGATCTTTCTTTATCAGGAAATAAATATTATCTCAGAATCTTCTTTTAGAGGAAATTTGAAGCATTCCTGTTCCCAACTCTGACCTGAATCATTGGCCTATGAGGCCAAATCAAACCTATCAAATGGATCTTACAGAAGTATGCTTTCCTCTATGCTGAGAGAAGGTTGCAAGGCGGGTCCAATCTCCTGTAACATCGGTTTGAGAGCTCAGATAATGGAAATCTTGGATATAATGTTTAACCCAAATCATAAACACTGGAATCATTTTTGAATTACTTGATTTCATGTTCTAGACTTTCATTATTGAAAAATGAACTAATATGTTTTAGAAAGATTTTTCAAGGGAAATAATTAAAATGATTTTTCTGATTTGCCTTTATTAAATCAAAAGTTTAGTTAATAAAGTACTACATTTCTTAAACATCAGAACTTAAAGGACCAACGTTCTAGTTTTTCATAATTTCTTTTATAAAATCACATCGCATGACATTTCTTCTTCCTTAAAGACACTCAATTCACTTTACATATAGGTATTGAGAAAATTCATATTTGAGTGGAACACAATAGTGACAAACGTTAAGTGACAGTTCTTCAAAAGGAAAACAGTGCACCAAGAAAGACATCTATCTAATGGTCATTACCTTAAATCAAGTTCAAGTCCCTTTGGTATAAATGCACCTGTTTGTGGATAGTTTTTATATTACATTGGACCAAAATTAGTAAGAGTATAAGATTTTCCTTTTATGGTTTGTTTCTTAAAATATTACCTCTCCTGTAGACTTTTCCTTTGCAACAGAAAAGTAAATCATTTCTTTCTTACATGTTTGTATTTTCAGCCAACTCAGACAGTAATGCCAGGACAAGTCATGCGGGTTACAACAGGTGCTCCAATCCCCTGTGGTGCTGATGCAGTAGTACAAGTGGAAGATACTGAACTAATCAGGGAATCCGATGATGTACGTCATCACCAGGTCTTAGCACTCTGTTCCTATGGCAATGTTATAAATTATGCCCATTTTCTGCACTGTTTATAAGATTAATCCAGTTGTGGGTTTTTGTGTGGTTTTTTGTAGGGTTTTTTTGGTAAAGATTTTACATTGTAGAGTGTGTCTCCAGTAAATAGGAATTGCCTTATATTTGAACATCTTTTGTTACAGGAAATATTTTTATGATCATTACTGTAATTATAACAGAATTTAAACCGCATTTGATCCATGAAATTTCACTCTTTCTTTCTTTCCAAGAAGGAAAGTATCTCAAGATAGAACAGCAGAGACATTAACTGTTGACATACTTTACACCTGAGAAATTTGTTCAAGACTAGCTTCTGATAAAATGTGAAGGAGAATTTACAGAAGAATTTAACAAAGAACACTTGGGCAAGTTCTTGAATGTTACACTAAGCCAAGCATTTGAACCAAATAACCCTTCAACTCTGGTTTTCTATAATTCAGAAAAATCTTTGCCATCAAATGATAGCCTGGAAAAATTAAATTTGTGTCAGTGCCCCCTGTATAGCTTACAATTAAAGGATTCAGAATTTTCCTTGGTCTAAACAGGCCTTCATCTTACTGAAACTAGTAGCAATTATAGGAACCAGAGTATCAGCCACTAATAAAAAAATAGTTTCAACTGACATTTTAATGGTTGGCTACCTTAAATTGTTTTTTGAAGTAGTTTAAGATATTTTATATCTTAAAAGCTAGAGCTAAAATAAATATTCTTCTGGGCTGGCTACATAGTAAAATTTGGACATGCTGAGAGACAGCCACTTTTCTTGATCTAGGATTTTCTTTTTAATCACTTTCCCACATTTAAGGCTTATAAAATTCAACACTTGGCATACAGATCACATTGCCTGCTGTTAAAACTGTCCAACAGATTTATTGGCTTCAGGGAAGCCAGCAGAACATTGAAATCCAGCACACAGGCTTCCACAGACTCTGCCAGATGACAAGACACAGTTCCGGTGTCAAAATATTATTCACAGCCCATAAATGTAAAATTAATGATCACCATTAATTTACAGAAATCTACTACCAGGAAAACTGTAAGTCCTCACTGAAATTTCTGCAGATATTTGGAAAACTTGGCATAGTACCCATATTATGTACCCAATTATGTACCCAATTATAGCATTGAGCATTATAAAATTGAGCATAATTCATGGGAACAGAAGAGACAGGTTATCTCCATCTACATTCATTGTTATCTATTAGGGTAGCCATATAGATATATTTGTGGTTTTCTCTTGAGAATGCTACTTACAATCTAAGATCCAGTATTTGAATTGGTACATTTTTAAAAAGCATGAAAATTATGAAAAAAATGTTTTGTTTATTTATAAATAAATTTATTGGCATCAAACTTAGTTTTTCAGGAACCTGTGGTTCAAAATGTGTAGCAAATGTTTCTGTTTCTCTATATTTGTATATGTTCTGGACCTATCTGACGGTAAAAGCATCTGAGTAGCTAAATTGTATTGATCAGAAATTCCCTTAGATTATTCTGTTCAAAATTACATGACTTGCTCTTATTATAGGGCACTGAGGAACTTGAAGTACGAATTCTAGTGCAAGCTCGACCAGGCCAAGATATCAGGTAAGTTCATAATGTATAAAATGTATGGCCGACTTTTGTTTCTACATGATCATGAACTCAGGAGAGTATGGCTATTGTAAATCCACAGCTCAGTCAATTACCCATTAGTGTTCAAGACTTTTAACAAATAGCAAAATGAATTTTATTAATTCTACATCTCCTGTGTACTCAGCCTACTTTTTCATAAGTGTAGTAAAGGCAAATGAAATAGTCCAAAGCAACTTGAGAAAGAAGTAGTCATGAGCCTACTTAATCCACAAATAATCCTACTACTTCTAGATAATCCAGAATTACACAACCCTACCCCTAGATAATCCAGAATTTGGTATAACACAGATAATCCTAGAGTTGAGTTTTTCTGCAGTTAGCTAATAGCGCCTCCTCTACTGACTACCAATAATAAGGGAATAATCTGCTATTCTTTATATACAAAGATGAGACTACTGTCTTACCATAAGTAGTACATAAACTTTAAATTATTTTTCTTACATTGGAATATATTTACCCTGATCCCATCAATACTGATATGCTCAAATGTCCTTATAACAAAGCTACAGTTCTCACATCCCTAAGGCAAGAAGCCACTCTGAGTGGACTTCTGTGGCCACAGACTTGGGCCAGTGTAAGTTATCTGAAGAGAAATTATCCCTGTGACTGTAACCTCATCAGTGTTATTCTTCTCACCTCAAAGCTAATATGCTGTGGACCTCTTATCCCTAATACCACTAGATATTTTCACATACATTCTTGCCTTATATCAAAGAAAGTTTGCAATTGGTGTTTTTGACTGTAATGTAATACAAAGCAATTTGTAAAATAGTTTTCAAATGTGAAGTAACATACTCCTGTTTAGCAGTAATAGAAATCCTATTTTCTCTCTTCTGTGTGATTAGAAGCTTTTTATTTTATCATTCTGTTCCTGCCTCATCTCTTGACTTTTTTCTCCTTGAGTGTCTTCCTTCTTTGACACTAAAGTCAGTTGAGAAAATATTATTCTTAGTCATACTCCTTATGATTCTGCTTTGACTTTCAGACCCATCGGCCATGACATTAAAAGAGGGGAATGCGTTTTGGCCAAAGGAACCCATATGGGCCCCTCAGAGATTGGTCTTCTGGCAACTGTGGGTGTCACAGAGGTTGAAGTTAATAAGTTTCCAGTTGTTGCAGTCATGTCAACAGGGAATGAGGTAAAAAAAAAGGGGGGGGGAGGGTTGGGGATGAGTAATTGGACTTCCAGGTAAAAGTCTTTTTGACCACAGTTCTGTGTTGTAAATAGAACATTGTGGATTATAGATTTTACCACATACCTATAACAGGGAAATAATAAGTTGGCTTCAGGATAGTTCAAGTACAAAAGATAAGAAGAAGGAAAACTTGAAATTACATATTGAGAAATCTTTCCTTCCATTTATTAGAATAAAATATTATAACCAATGGCCTTTCTACACACTCAGTACATATAAACCAAGAATGATGACTGCTAGCAATTGATGTTCAACTATGCAAATTTAGTGCTCAGTTTATTAGGATAATTAATTCTACCCACCTTGCTGCTGAGATGATGGGCTACCTCTGTGTGGGAAATAAATCAATGAATTGGGACACAATGGTTAGCCCTTCATCTTGCTAGAAGTTCCATATGATCCTTAATCATTAGGAAGGATTTGATAATCTTTTCTTTTTCTCCAAAGATAGCATCTGTAAGTGGCGTGCTTCTCAGTATACCAAATGTCATTTCAGCCCTGATTTAGAATGGAGATTTAGTCAATCTTTTCTGAAAACTCTTGAAAATTTTCCTGTTCCATGTTTTGCTTAGGTTATATAAAAAGTCAGAAGTTCTAATCAAACTGGGAATATTGAAAAAAGGATCTGCTGGTAATTCAAAGCCTAAGAAAGAATCAGATACTGTGTTTTTTAGCCCTTTAGACCTTACTATTTTTTTTTAATTTTTTTAATTTTTTTTTAATTTTTTTATTTATTTATGATAGTCACAGAGAGAGAGAGAGAGGCAGAGACACAGGCAGAGGGAGAAGCAGGCTCCATGCACCGGGAGCCCAATGTGGGATTTGATCCCAGGTCTCCAGGATCACGCCCTGGGCCAAAGGCAGGCGCCAAACCACTGCGCCACCCAGGGATCCCTAGACCTTACTATTTTTAAGAAGATTAACAGGATTTCTTTTTTTTTTCCTCTTTTAATCTCTATTTTTTTATTTTGAAAATAAGCAATTAATATATCATTATTTTTAATTTCTTAAAGTCTTGGAAATGAACATCCTCAAAGGTCTCTCCATTACCTCTATAGCTCTTTTAGAAAGGGCAAAAGAAAAGAATAGAATATTTGTTTTGCTACTGGAGAGATGAATGAGCATTCTAGACCCAGTATAGGTGCACTGGTCATTCCCTAAAACTATTGACTGACCCAAAACATTCTTTTCAATTGATCTACATAGTGAATATTTTAATATCCCTAGGACCAATTGACACCATGTTTAGCATCAAAAAAGAAATTTCTGATAAACTGGTTGACTTAACGAACAACTCTTATTTGTGATTTATTTATATGCTCTGTGCATCTAGGTGAGTTCATGGGGTTTGGGAAAGCTAAAGAAAATGAGCAAATTCATAAGTAGCTAGTTATTAGGCAGTTTTGTTTAAGCTATATTTCTTGTATTCTTCCTATTGTTTTTGTAGGGCTGGACTATAGTCTCACTTATCCTCCAGAGTACATTGGTAGTAATATTTTAAAGCTATCATACATTCTGTATTACAGCTATTTACTAGTGGTAAAGAAAAAAGATGGGGTAAGACTAGAGATGATACTTACATCATGGAGTCTAAGGAAGAATTTTTAGTCCTAGTTCTCTGCCTCCCCAGGCTTAATTATCCTTATAGACACTTTGATAGATGCTACTTTCTGTGGCCTTCTAAATTTATTGTGGTTTTCCAAGGGAATAATGTTTCCAAATCTCTAAATCCACAATCTAAAATAATATTTCTAAATACATAATCTCTGGTTCCATATAGCTCGACATTCCTTCCCTATTTCTATCCAAGTTTAGCTGTTATTATGACTCTTTATGATTGTATAGTTTAGTTCAACAAATGTTTATTGGGTACCTCTATGCCAGGCATTATACTGGAAACTGGGGATAAAAAAGGTGAATAAAATACAGTTTCTCTTCTGAAGGCTTGAGATCTTTGATAGACAGAAAATAATGGAAAAAAGTATTTATTTTCAGTGAGACCAAAGAAATTACACTTGTCTATTAGTGTGGCAAGTCTATAATTTAGGTAGTCACAACACAAGCTCCCCTTAACTGATTTCCCATGATATGTGTGGCTTCACATATGTCCACTTTTCAATCCAGTGTGGTATATTGGCTAACAGAACAATGGCCTGAGGCAATCCAAATAATGCCATACAAGATGTCTGTATATATTATCTTTAAAACCTGTCCAGTATTTTGTGACTACATGTGTTTGTTTGGGATGAAGGAATTATTTCAAAATCGGGGAGATACAGTTGTAGACTATAATATCAAACAGTTGATGTAGACATTTGTTGGTTTCAACAAACTGTGTATGTTAACATTTAGGCAATATCATCCAGGACATACATAATTGTGGCATACACTTCCAAACTCATGCATTTGTTCAATAAATATTTTTTAAGCATCTATTACATGCTAGAATGCCCATCAGGAGATCCCTGGGTGGCGCAGCGGTTTGGCGCCTGCCTTTGGCCCAGGGTGCGATCCTGGAGACCCGGGATCAAGTCCCACGTCGGGCTCCCGGTGCATGGAGCCTGCTTCTCCCTCTGCCTGTGTCTCTGCCTCTCTCTCTCTCTGTGTGTGACTATCATAAATAAATAAAAAAATAAAAAATAAAAAAAATAGAATGCCCATCAGGGTTTATCTTAACTAAAATCAGACTTATAAGATGTGAATACACTGTACTGTGAACCAGTTTATTTAGAAAGATTTTGAATAGGAAACTCAGTGTCCAGCAAGGCTGCATCAGACTTTCATCTTCAGTTGAACTTGTCCTCTTAATCATCTGCACAGCCATCCAAGAACTATTCTCTTTTTTCTCCAAGTGACATTCAGGTACAAGGGAACAAGAATTATACTAGGAGAGTATGGGAGCCACCAACTTAGAAGCATGTCCTACATAAGAATCAATATTTCTTATAACAGTCTTAGGCAGCTCCCAGGATCCCTATAAGGGAAATGTCCAGATACAAATGCCACTACATTCACAAAAGCCCAAAGCTATGGCTTCCCACTAGGTATTTATTGTTCATTTATAGTTCCTTCTAGTCCCTGTGTAAGTTTTCGATCAGAGATGACTTTTCCCAGAAGAAATGCTGCCTAGTAACAAGCTGACATTTCATCTTTATCAAATTTCCAGGGGAATAGAACTAGAAAGTTAACCCAAGCTCAAATTTGTCCTTAGGAATGGAAAAGAGTTTTATTAACTTGTTACCCTCACATAAGAAAATTAGAAAATAATAATAAAACTGACTATAAATCATTCTGCTTTTTATTATTACCATGAACTGACAACTCTAAACAATGTCAGTGATAAAATATTCTTCTCCACTAAGGCAAACCATTTTCACCACCCCTCCCCATTTAGTATACTACCGTACTGATACCAGGCACTGTTCTGACTGTTTAGGATATAGCAGCAAACAAGACAAATTCCCTGTTCTTACAGAATTTATATTCTGAGGGAGGCAGGGTAGAGAGATAGTCAATGAACAAATAGCAGCAAGTGGTATGAAGAAAAATAAAGGATAAGATGATAAAGACTAGTAGTAGAAGTGGTACATGCCAGATATTACTTGCTGAAACCTACCCTACATCAGCCCTTTCATATTCTCCCCTATACAATAAGACTGGAAAGCTGAAAACCACAGCTGTGGTCCTGTTAGGTATTGTCATTATGATGCATTAACACAATATTAGAAGTTGGAAAAAGTTAGCAGGAGTATAATATCCTCAATTCTCATTAACATCACTTTCCCCAAGCAGCCCTAGGGACAGTGGTGACTTTTCTCCTTTTGTTTCTCCAACCCTCCCAACATATTTGTAACCAATTTCCTACATTAAATCCTTTTTTCTCCCACTCCCCTCCATTTGAAATACCTAGACAATTTGGTTTTCCTTTCCAGACCTGACTGATTGAGCTTTCTATTTTACATAGTATAATCAGGCCTCACTGATAAGGCAAAATTAGAGTGGAAATCTGAAGGTATTGAGGGTGTGTGCCATATGAGGGGAATTGAGTTCCAAGCAAAGGAACAACAGAGAATGAAAAATCCCTGAGGTAGGCTGTGTGTTTGTCATGTTTATGGCTGAAGTATAGAGGGAAAGGAGCAAAGTAAAAGGAAGTGAGGTTGGGGAGATAACAGAAACAAGACCATTTTATTCTAAAGAGTCAGTTTTTTTGTGGGTTTTTTGTTTTTTGGTTTTTTTTTAGGGGGGTAAATTGTAAATTTTTTTTAAAACAAATATACAACTTGGAATGGATTTGAGGCAAATTGTGCCATAAGCAGATTTTCTTTAAGTGGCTAAAACAAAGTTTAAAAAGCAAGTAACAATAAAAGAAAATGTTTCTGGTACAGGACCAGCAGTACAAAAAAAATAGTGTACAAGTACCTGGATAATAAACCCATTTTGCAATAGTGCAGCTTTTAAGTATATATTGTTGACTGTCCAGAGTCCATGCAGAGTTACAACTCCACACTTCAACAACATGTTGACAGTTCCTAAAGAAAACTACTTAAAAAAAAGGCATAACCCCGATGTTCCCTCATTTGACCAACTCCATCTAAGTTTAGATGTGCAGAAGAGCTTAGATATATCCAGAGTAAGCCACATGCAACATGACAGTTGATCAATTTTCTAAAATAAGGTTTCAGGACAAAGACAGTGAGATAAGGGAAGAAAACATGGAGGAATGAAGTCCTAATTACTATACATGCATATTTTTTGACAGCAGGGGGAAGCCTTTTACAAATAAGTTACAAACAAAGAAAAGGCAAATAAACAATTTTGTTTTTTGTTTTGTTTTTTGTTTTTTTAAAGTTTTATGATAGTCACAGAGAGAGAGAGGCAGAGACATAGGCAGAGGGAGAAGCAGGCTCCATGCACCGGGAGCCCGATGTGGGATTCGATCCCAG